CACTGGAAATCCAGGGTTGTCCTGCTGTGTGTTCTGGGCAAACCCCCTTACCTTCTCTGGGCCAACAATCTCCTGGCCTAGGAAGGGACCAGGTCACCAGTTTGGCCAGCCTGTGACTCACTGCCTCAGGCTGGAGGGAAGATGTGGTCATTATGGAAGTGACTCTTCCCCCTGGAACACGCTTCCGCATGCGATGCGGTGTGTTTCTGGCATTCTGTGTGTCCACGGTCAGATGTCTTGTGTGTCCCAATGTAGGTGTGTCATCATTTGGAGCTTTGGTGCAGCTATCATCCTTTTAAATACCCTGTGCTGGAAGCTTCTCCCCTCCCCTCTCTGGGAGCTTACTAGTAGGAAGCCTCTGTGAACTCTTCCCACGACCCCGGAGAGGTCAGGGTCCTTCCCCATTGGCAGTCCGGGGCGGAGCTGGAGCTGGGAGGGGTCCTGGCTGAAGGTGCACCCCTGGGGCCAGGGCCAGCTTACTCTATGGTGGTGTGGGGGTCTCACTCATGGGTGAGGGCCAGATCTGAGGGCCTGCTCAGTTCCCATCACACTTGAGCTGAACTGCAGGGGGGCGGGGGGGGGTGGGAGAGAGGGAGAGAGAGAGAAGGGTCTTTGCCTTTCATGGGTGGAGGGCAAGGGGATCCTGGGCCTTTATCCACGTTCCTCCATCTCTAGCCCCCCCCCAGTCTCTTGGGGGCCCGACTGCAAGTCCTCCCCTGGGGAGGGGGGGGCGAGGCGGCGCGGAGCCCCGGGGAGGGGGGTGCTCTGCGGGCAGCCGACCCCGGCTTTTGTGCGCCCAGCCCCCACTCCCCCCTCTACCACTGTGGGGGGGCCCCCCAGTCTCGGGGTGTCCGTCTGCGTCGCGCGCCCTGGCCCCACGTGCGGGTTCCTGCGGGGATGCGGGGCTCCCCGATCTCGGCCGCGGACCCCGTCCTCTCCATATTTACCCCCCGCCCCCCGCGCCAGCATCCCCGGGCTCGCGGGGCGCTGGCCCTTTAAATCCTCCGGGGCGGCGGCGGCGGGCCGGGGA